GTTCAAACATCTTTTCAAATCTAAACAAGTAATGCATACAAGTTTGTAAAAACACATAATTCTGAACAATATTCATATACTCCAAACAAGTCAAGATGTTCCAAACATAATTATCGTCATACATATACATGTTCATCCCACTTGGCAATATTTTTGTAAAACAAAACATATTAACATGGTATAATTCCAAACAATTTTCTCAACCAAGTAATGGCACATAACCAATCACACAAGCACATACAATCACAAATTAGTAGTGGTTATCTTTACACCTTAGCAAAATACTTCCCCTTATAAGTAATGGATCACCATAATCTTCACCCATATCACAATCTACATGAATTACACACCTAACATAATTAATTACATGTTTAACACATAATATTACCCTAATTGCAAGGTTAGGTTGATTAACCTCAATACCTAAACACTCTTCCATACATTTAGACATCCAAACTTTATATCTCTGCCATTATTAAACTTATAGCATCCCTTTATGAGCTTCTATTTCATATTTTCATCAAAATCCTCACCAAATAAATCTAGGGTTTTGCATATAAGTTATCCATTGCATTTTCCACCATAAAAACAACCTAATAAACACTTATTTATCCTTAAACATTCCCAAAAATTTGGACCTGATGACTGGAACTCCCACTAATGTTAAACTCTAAAATTTTCCCTTGCATTACATTTTCTAGCTTAAAAAGAATAATAGAAAGTTGAAATGAGATTAGAGGAGGTTACCTTAGTGATTGGATGCCTAAAAATGTGCTTTACTAATGAGAAGCTTTAAACCCTAGCAGAGTAACATGAAATGGCACCATACCTCTAATTTTCTCCCCTCTTCGGTTCTATCTCATAAACAAGAAGCAAATTCTAATTTACACAATGTGTTTCATGGCAGATGCATCATGTGCTGCAGTATATGATATAAAACATGAACTCACACTTAAGCCCATTCTGTTGGCCCAAACTAGCCCAAAACCTATTTAGACCCTAAACAACCCTTATTCATGATCCTAGGCCCAATTTGAATCATAATTAAGTTCTTAAACATTTAATTGTCCTCAATTATCCTTAAATTAACAATGGCCCTCAATTAAAATTTCAAATTAAAAATTTTAGATATTACATCACATATTAAGGAAGCATAACAAAGGGAGTCGGGAGCATTGGTTTTGACTTAACATTAGAGAAGCCAAACTAGATGAAGGGTGTGTTTGGGTAATCCATTGTTAACTTTGAAAAGTCCTTTTAATACTTTCCAAAAGTTAAAAGTTGTTTGGAAAAAAATTATGGGATAAAAGTATATTGTGAAAATGCATTTAGAATGTTATTGGAAGTGGATTTGGCCAAAATAACTTGAGGATGAATTTAAAAGGTGGGTTGTTATTTAACCATACTATCCCTTTATTCTATTATTCTTTTATTTAAAAAAAATTTAATTAATTAAAAAATATAATCATCATTTAAATAATAATAATAATACTAATTAGATATCAAATTTTTAGCATTATAAATTGAATAATCAATCATGTTTATTTTTAGCATTGATGTATATTCAACTATTTTATATAATTAATCATTTAAATAATAAATCAATGTTATTTTTGTAATCATAAATTTAAAAGTACATTTCACTATCATAATCTAAATAATTTTTAATTTTTTAAATTGACTTTTAAAAAATATATCCAAATACAAATTTTATTATAATAATTAACTTTTGTTAAATGAATTGTTAATAAACTAACTTTTGGTTCACAAAAAACCAAACACGTACAAAAATGTGGGGGAGTTATTAGATACAACAATACAAACAAGGTAGTAGGATTCAACACTTGTGTAGGAATGTTTCTTGTAGCTTTGATAGAATTGATTGGAATCATTTATGGGCCTGATAGGGGTTTTTGAAGGATCAAAGTATTCATAGGTTGCGCAAAGGCCTTTAGGGCCTATTTGTTTAAAATTAAAAAATAAATAATTTTTAAATAGTTTAGAGATTTTATTAAAAAAAATTATTTTATAAAGATTTTATAAAAATCAGATATTATTTTATGTTTAGTTAGAATAATAAAAAAGTGATTAGTAGTTTATTATTTTTAAATTTTATGATATCTTCCTTGATTTTTGTTTTATAAAAATAATTTATTATTATATTATTTTAAAATTTTATAATATCCTTACGTATCACGCCTCTTTAAAACACTCTCTCTCATCTATCTCATTAGATTATTTTTAGAAGCTACTTAAAGTAGCTTCTCAAAATAATTAGAAATATGTTTTTTTTATTTAGATTATTTTCAAAAGTTTAAACAAACACTATAAAAACTTACAAAATAGATTTTTTTTTTCAAAAAATAAGTAATTTTTTCAAAAAAATAAGTTAAAACAAATGGACTCTTAATCTCATTTACCGCAATGAGAATGATCAACATGCATCCATATAGAGATTTTATTGAACATATTAATTTGTTCCTGACTTGTTGTATAGGGATTGGAAAGTTGCCAAAAAAGTTAATTTTTGTGCTCCTGTTTTGGTTAATAATGCAAAGGAATGTTAAGGTAACCGAAATACTTTTGATCAACGAACCCTGAGATGGTGGATGATAAAAGAAAGTCCATGGTATTCATGCTTAACTATAATATCTTTTGGTTCTTAAATACATTTTCTTCATTCCAGCAAATATATAGAAGAGGTTCACGTAATTTAACAAAACAGAAAGATTACAATATCAAAATCAGAAATTTAGCACAACAGAAGGAATAATTTCCCAATTCATAAGAACGCAAACGCAAGCTCAAAATCAGAAATATGCATATGATTTATAATAGAATTAATATACAATTTACATCTTGAACTATAGGGTCAGGGGTGATTTAAATCCTAAACTTTAAAAAAATATATTTTAAATCTTAAATAATTAAAGTTGGGACAATTTTACCCTCACCGTTAACTTTTAACAAACGTCCATTAAATTCATTTGAGAAAATTATATTTTAGGCACCAATTTGATGAATGTTTGTTAAAAATTAACGGTAGGAACGAAATTACCCCAATCTTAATTATATAGGGTTCAAAATGCACTTTTTTAAAAGTTTAAAGTTTAAGTCACTTCTAAACCTATAATTTAGTGTTTAAATTACATATTAACTCATGGTAATATTACAAATTTCTCAAGATATGAGAAAAAGGAAAAAAAGGTAAATAATATTAGGATAATGAAACTATATAAAAGAAGGTTGTAAATTATAATAATGAGTAAAATAATTTTTGATAAAGATTATGGTGGGTATGAATGAGAAAGTATCAAGTTAACTATTTTTATTCTTAATAGGTGGGGTTTTGATAGGTTATCAGTAACATCAATAGAAATGTAATATAATCTTTTACTATAAGCACATTTTCATATTTTTTCTTGTTTGTTCTTAGCATAATGGAATCTCATAATAATATAGGGAAAAATCTAGAATAAATTCTTCTTCATACACTTTTTTCTCATTCTCTTTATTTATCATAAAGCTTTTGATTATGTTTCATAAATTTTCACCTTCATTGATCAATTCAAACCAATAAACTTACACACTCCTTTTAAGCTTGAAAAAATATAGGGTTGGGCTACCTTTTTGAAGTCTAAAATAGTAAATCAAGCCCAAAAATAAAAAGACTAGCCTTTTTAAGCTCTCTTACTTTTTTTAATTTAATATAAAAAAGAAATAAAAAAGTGAAAAATTTAGTTTGCCTCTTAGTCCCTCTTAGAACTCTCATTAATGATTTCACCTTTCACACAAGGAGTCGACCCTGTGAGGCCGTAAGTCTATGACTTGCAAGTGGCTGTGATAGTACAACTGTAACCTTACCCTATTCGTCCTTCCCTTGCATCTCTCTTTGTCTATCAACCAGCTTAGGCCACAGCCAAAAACAGCAACCCTCCTTTCCTTTATGATTTGTCATTGTGCCTATGCTCTATCCCTCATCCTTCCTCAAAGCTCAAGTTATATGCTCTATTCCTCATCCATAGCAGATTTGTAGTCATACTTGATTTGTCGCTCACTGTAGATAATGATGATGAAGGAAGATATAAAAAACTAAATATCTTTACCATTGATTAAGCTCCACAAGGAGAAGGATCAAATTATATTGATCTTAATAATCATAAAACTCATCAAGATTTAATTGATGATACTAGCAAAATTTAATTATTATTAGTGTTAATTTCATAATGTTACTACTTTTGGTGAGATTTAAATTTGTTATTAGGTGTATTGTCTTAAACTTATTTTGCTAAACTTAATGTTATGCGTAATAATTTTTTTAAAATTTTAAATTGAAAAATTAAAAAAAATATAGGTTCGAGGTTCTGAGGGCTGGCCTTTCAACCTTGAGGGCCAGGGTCGGCTCAGCCAAAATGATACCCTAAAATAAAATCGAGCTTAACAGGCTCGGTCCATTTAGACCCTAACTCTTCAAAAGTTAGTTCTAATTGATAACTTTACTTGAAGGACATTTTATTCTTTTTTTTTTTTTTTGAAATGTTGGACCAAATAATTAAGGCATTGATATTGATATTTTTAAGATAAAGAATTATATTTTTAAATAAAAAAAATGTAAAAGCTAAAAGCTAGCATGCGCAATATTGTCTAACTTTTTATTCATATACTCCTTTCATTTTTATATATAAAATATTTTTAATTGAATCTCGCATATCAATAAAAATTTATTATTTAATTAAACTTACATAAAAACATAATAATTTTTTAATTTTATTGCTAATAATATCATGTTGGTGATAAAAAATATATAATTAATAATTTATTTTATTTTTTAAATAAGGGTAAAATTATTTAATTATTTAAAAATATTATTATCACTTTTTATATTTAAAAATAAAATAAATTTTTTAAAAATATTTTATATATAAAAATGAAGAGAGTACGTACCACGGTATAAAAAAACACCATAATACAAAAGAAGTGATTCAATGTTCAATCGTTCATCCGCTCGCAGTCTTTATAAACAAAGTGGGCTCTTCCATTCTCATACTCAGTGACGCAGTGAGGCGAAGATCGGGCAATGGAGATCCAAGGCTCGTCGTTCTCTAGCCTCCGATCCTACCTATGTGCTCTCGCTCATACTCCGTCTCGGCTCGCTTGCCGAGGCGGTTCTCTCTCCAGTCCCTACAACGAGATGGGCCGGGTTAAAGCCCGGTCCGGTTCTCAAATGCGCAAGACCCTCCGCTGGTTCGACTTGATCAGTTTGGGCATCGGCGGTATGGTCGGCGCCGGAGTTTTTGTAACCACCGGCCGCGCCAGCCATTACGCAGCTGGCCCTTCAGTAGTGCTTTCTTACGCCATCGCCGGTCTCTGTGCTCTCCTCTCTGCCTTCTGCTACACCGAGTTTGCCGTCGACATGCCCGTCGCCGGCGGTGCTTTCAGCTACATCCGCGTCACATTCGGTACGTTTCCGTTTGTTGAATAGTCTTCGTTCTTTTTACGTTACGATCCTTTCTGTACTGTAGAACTAGATTGTTGATGTTAGGTTTCAGTTCAATTTCACAGGCGAATTCGCTGCCTTCCTAACGGGTGCGAACCTTGTGATGGATTATGTGATGTCAAATGCCGCCGTTGCCCGGAGTTTTACTGCCTATTTTGGCACTGCAATCGGCGTCTCCTCCACGAAATGGAGGCTTACGGCTCCTTCGCTTCCCAAAGGATTTGACGAGATTGACGTTGTTGCAGTGGTTGTCGTTCTGCTCATCACCCTTGTTATTTGCTACAGGTACACTCACAATATGCTCGATGAAGCTTTTCTGTTCGGTTCGACCTTCATCATTGCCATGCAAAGTTTTGACCAATCTTGTTTTATTTGTTGTCTGTATTCTGTTTGTTCTTCTTATCAGCACGAGAGAGAGCTCGATGATTAACATGATTTTGACGGCGCTTCACATATTTTTCATAGCATTTGTGATAGCCGTGGGTTTCTGGAGAGGTAGCTGGAGGAACTTCACAGAGCCAGGTAATCCGCAAAACCCATCGGGGTTTTTCCCTTACGGTGCTTCAGGCGTGTTCAATGGATCAGCAATGGTTTATCTCAGTTACATCGGATACGACGCCGTTTCCACCATGGCCGAAGAAGTCCGAGACCCAGTCAAAGACATCCCCATCGGCGTGTCAGGATCGGTCATAATCGTAACCTTTCTCTACTGTCTAATGGCCGCTTCCATGTCCAAGCTTCTTCCATACGACATGGTGAATGAGATTGTCCTGATTACTTATTTTCATGAATTGATGTTATTGTATTATGAAGAATTTTCCATTGACGATTGGTTCTAAACCCGCCGGCCTGGGGGATTGCACGCAGATCGATGCGGAAGCGCCGTTTTCGGCGGCTTTCAGGGGGGAATCAGACGGCTGGGGATGGGTGTCGGAGGTAATAGGGGTGGGGGCCAGCTTTGGGATCCTTACGTCGCTGTTAGTGGCAATGTTGGGTCAGGCTCGGTACATGTGTGTGATTGGACGGTCCAACGTGGTCCCCTCTTGGTTTGCCAGGGTCCATCCCAAGACATCCACGCCTGTCAACGCCTCCGTTTTTCTTGGTACGTTGTTAATTAATGCCTGAGAACTTTCAAGTGCAGAGCGGCTCTTTCTTTGTGCTTTGTGTGCTCGATAAATACAATTCATGCTTTTAGGCTTTAGTGGGATCTTATCCTACTTTGCAAGATGCAGGTCTTAGCTTCTACTGGTGGGGACCATTTTAGTAGTTGTTTCAATGGCTTGGCTCTGCGTAGAGGGTGTTATTTTGGTTAGATAAGAATGTCAGCGGCAAGAGACGGAGTCAAAAAAGAAATGATATTTAAGTTAATTTTAACAATTACAATCACAGCTTTACGCAGCTGCAGAAGTTATCTAGATAGGTGGTCTCACTTAAACAACATTCTTTGGCGTGAAAACATGCAATACTCTTAAAGCAGAAAATGGTGGTGATTGATGAGAAAGCTCTTACACGGGCGTCTCATGATTAATTACAGGAGTCAGTAGATATATTGAATTGCCAACTATTTCAGATGGTTCCAACACATGATTTCTCAGTCAGTATTAATGAGGGGTAGCCTAACGTCATATTCGTTAGTTTTCTGTGATAGTATCCGAACAAGATACTTAGATACAGATGGGAGATAATTGGCAAATGGGTTCAGCGCGGAGCTGTTTATGAAGATGTGATTCACTCATTCAAGGAAAATTAAGCTGCATAAGAATCTCTATTTTCTTTTCGTGTGCATTCAGTGAATAAAGAATCTTACATTGAAATTGGTGGTTGGTATCGGTCCAGCCAATATTATTGTACGAGTTATATATTCCTCTTGATAGGAATCTTTGACTGATGATGTCCTTAGCTCTATAATTTGCAAGAGTGGCCTAAATTTTGGATTTCCTTGATCTTTATTCCAACTTCCAAGTGGTTCATTATTTTTTTGGCCAACCGAGTGGTTGATTTTGACTTCCTACAAACCATGGGCTAAAATTCCTTTTCTCTTTATAACTTGGAGATATTATTGTGCCTTTGGGGTCTAATTTTTCTCATATTCGCACATAATCTCATTTTCAGGTATTTTCACTGCTGCAATTGCCCTTTTCACTGATCTCAATGTTCTACTCAGCCTCGTATCAATAGGCACCCTCTTTGTATTTTACACGGTGGCAAATGCTGTGATTTATAGACGTTACGTGTCCGCCGAGACGACCAATCCATGGCCTACATTGTCCTTTCTCTGTTCATTTTCCTTCACCTCCATAATGTTCACCCTTACTTGGAGATTTCTTCCAACCGGAAGGGCCAAGGCAGGAATACTTAGTGCCTGTGGGATCATTGCCGTTGCAATTCTACATATTTTCTACTGCATGGTTCCTCAAGTTCGGAAGCCAGAATTCTGGGGGGTCCCTCTTATGCCATGGATACCCTCCATGTCAATCTTTCTCAATGTGTTTTTGCTTGGTGTTCTGGATGGGCCATCCTATGTTCGATTTGGATTCTTTTCCGCTATTACTGTGCTTGTCTATATCTTTTACAGTGTTCATGCTAGCTTTGATGCTGAAGGAGATGGATCTCTCGGTGAAAAAAATGGGGAAATTCATTTATCCAAACAAAGTGAGGACCAAAGTTTTGAAGTGTAGATTATCTCCTGTACATCTCTCTATCTCTTCCCCCCTGTTTGGAATTAGGATTGGATGTATTAAACCTTCTAGTATGATTGACAGCCACTTAGAACTGGGGGAGGGAGAATTATAAATGGTACAAATCCTATACAAGTAGAATAGGCACCGAAAGAATAGCATAGGCTGCCGCTTTTTTTGGGAATGGTGAATTGTGTAGTTAAAGCCTTAAGAAGCTGCATACGCTGTGATTGCCTTTGTAAATCTGCCTTGTGTTATGTCAAAAGAATTTCAATTCTTGTTCTCTTGGCTTTTGTGACTTTTAACTGCTAAAGTGAAATAAAGCTCTCTGAATACCAAATGGTCCCTTAGGTGATTTTCTTCTGAATCATCACTTCTCCCTTCTAAAGTTTGCGATGCAAGTTGCAACTATGTGTGACATGCATTTTTTAGCAAAATTCTAAGAAGATATAAACAGCGTCTGAGCATGGGGTTTAGAATTTTTATGAAGAGATTAAAAGTCATTGACCAAAGGATCTATTTGATATTGAAATTAGGATTAAATGACAAATTTATTATGGAAGTTTCTATCAAGTAGAATTGATATCCTTAACTTTCATTTGGCGTAATGTAACTTCTGAAGTTTGGAAAATGATACAATGTTGTCTTAAAGTAATGTTTGATTGTTGTTGATCATTATTCTGATAATTTAAAGGTAATTTTGTCTTAAAAAATTTGTTTGAAAGAATAATTGATATCTTGAATTTTTAATTAATACAATATTTTTTGAGTTACTAGCTTTCAAGTTTAAAGGATTCAACAATTCATTATAACCCATAATCATAAGAGAATTTTGAATTGAATTATATTGAATGACTATAAGTTAGAATACGGGTTAGTCCATGTTACTCACAAGGTACATCTAAACAAGTCTATATTCACTCATAATTAAGCCTATGCAAGGTGAGACCTACTCAGACATATGTCTCAACTTGTTCATGGGCAAAGTAAAAGAAAGATTGGATTTTGCTTAATAAAAAGTTTGTGGAGTGCTCTCGTAGAGTTGATTTTGCATCCAAGTAATCTCAGATAAGGCCTCTAGTCGAATTATGGAAATATGAACTATTCTTTCACATTGACAATGTTTTGATATATTTTTCTTTTGATTTCAATATTAATAATCTCAAAATATTGTATTAATTGAAAGTTTAGAATTCAATTACAATTAACAAACCTTTGGCAAAATTATTATTTAATTCTAGTCAAAAATTTTCAACTAAAGACCAACACTTGTCAAAAGTTGTTATAAAATAAGAGGAAAAATATAACTTTAAATTCTTGTATTTTATTCGCATTTTGTTATTAATTCTTGTATTTATTTTAATATTTTTTATCCTTATATTTTTATTTTTTATTATTTTAAATCTAAACCTTAGTAAAATGGAAGGATTTAAAGTTATATTTTTTTCAAATGATATTTCATCATTTTTAAATTTTGAAGTTAAATTTATGTCAATTGAAAATTAAAAATACCTGTTGTACTTAACGAAAACGCTTCTAAAACAATTTTTGTTTAACCCTTGAAACAACTAAGATGACACAAAGTGGAGATGATGTCAGCTTCAAAAGAAATGAATGAAACAATGTTGTATTGCGGTTTTCTAATAATTAGTATTTGGTGGAGCTAATTCATTCATCATTAGCATACAGTACGAAATAAATTTTAAAAAAAATATGGATACTATATACTTTAGCATACTGTATCTGTATAAAGGCCGATGTGCAGTCCATTTATCTTCTTTTGTGCTGTCCCATCTCTGTACACGATGGCAAATATTTATAAACCCAGCCTACTTGTGAGATCCAAAATGGATCTTGCTTTTTCAGTGCTATCAATTTTGATCTCTTGTCTCTGGGTCTTTTCTCTTTCTTTTTTATATTCTTCCATGCTTGTCTTTTTAGTTTGTATTTATCTAGACATAAACTGGATTCTAAGTGGTGATATATTATGATGGTCGCTTCTCTTTGTCAACCCCGTAGCATTTTGGTAAAAACTAATTTTAGAACTTCAGTTCTTATATTAGGATTGCAAATGTTTTGCTTTGAGGTTGTGGGACACACTCTGAGCTTTCTGAATCGCTCATATTTATAGTTTTTTTTTAAATTAAATCAGTTGAAATAAATCACTAGCCGCAGAATGAATAGGAAAAACTAGAGACAAGAAAGGGAAGTGAATCAGCAATGCTTACTGTCAGCTAGATGGCCTCTTGCCTTGGCATTTCTTATTTCAATCAAGGACCCGTTTGGTTGCTGTAAAGCTTGAGAATGGAATGAAATAAGAACAAAAAATGAACCAAATTATCCTCTCACTTATGTTATGTTAAGCATAATAAAACCTAATGCTATATACTATAAATATAAAAATCATCATACCTTCTATAAATTTCATGAATAATTTTCAACTTCATGAACTAATTTATTATTTTTCTTTTATGAACATGATTGAATAATCTTTCCTTCACATCTTGATCATTGTATTTTTATCTTTATTTCTTCAATCCATTCCATTCATTCTTTCCTTTACAACAACCAGGCCTAAAAATTTCCTACTCCAATTATTCCATTTATTCCACTCTATCATGAATTATGGCATATGGAACAGTTCGTGACCAGCTACACAAACACTGTTTCCTTTTAATGCAATCTTGTTGATACATTTGAATCTTCTAAAATTATAATTAAATATTTTTGAAATATCTTTGAAATGAGTAAAAGATTAAAGAAAGAAAACTAGCAAGTCGAAAAATAATAAATGAACTCTATATGCATTCCCAGACTTTGTGTTGTTCTCCTTGTCTTCAAAAACATTCTAATTTTGAAAATCTAAATACTACTTTTTTTTTTTAACTATTTAGCTTGTATTGATCAGAGGGTCTTCAATTTGTTTTCTTTTAAAGGAAAAGTAAAAGAAATCCACAAAATCATCACACAAAGCCATGCCTTATCTCAACTTTGCTAGGTGAATGATGGTGGTCTATAATCGACAAAATATGTAAGACAAAAGATTATGGGCCATTATGTTGGCACCATGTTTTGCCTTATATACCTCCTTTGTCTGCTGTACCAATTGTTTCATTCTCACTTGCCTTCTATTGGTTTTTCCTAATTACTTTAACTTTCTTTCTCCCTCACCCCACTTTCTCACTTTGTGTTGTCCCTCTCTCATTTATGGGTCGGTGGCATCTTTTATTTTGAAGCTGCATCATTCATGTCTGCTACTGCATCACATTGCAGCTTCAACCAAGAAGAAAACACAGCAAGATTCCATAAAAAGATTTTCACGAATTAATTCCTCCGCATTAAAAGAATTGGGGATTATCCCATCATCTAATCCACATCAGTATTCCATTCATGTCCAAAGATGTTTGAAAGAGACTTGTGAATTAGATATCGTCACGTATCACACCTGCTTTAAAAATAAAATCATATATTATGATCATAGAGGTCAATGTGATATATAAAAGCATCCAGTTTTAAATTAATATAAGTTGTTGTATGAAGTATTTAAGTAGAGTGATTCTTAACTACTTATTTGGCAGCAATCATTCGAAATGATGGGCAATTGATAGGAATATTATACATAAGATATAATTTGGATGATTTAAATGAAAAAAAAAGTTAAAAAATTATTTATAATCGAAAAATGTCTAACAAACTTGAAGGGAGGTTTTATCAAATTATTATAAAATTAGCTATGTTATATGGTAATAAATGTTAAGCTTTAAAGTAACAATAGGAGGATAAAGTTAAAGTAGTTGAGATGAGATTGTTGAGATGAATATATGGGCATACATAAAAAGTTAAAATCTAAAATGAACATATATGAGAAAAAGCGGCGTGACATCTATTGACAAAAAAATGGTAAAAAATCATTTGACATAGTTCGAATATGTATAGAGAAGGTTGAGGGAGACACTAATGAAGAGAGTGAAATGAATAATCTTGAGTCCAGTAAAGAAAAAGTAGATAAAAACTAAAGAAAACACTTATAGACATTGAATGAGACTTCTTAGTTAACAATATTCATTAGAACTTAGTTTAATAATAAAACACAATGATATCCTATAATTCATATTGCTGACCCCATCTAATGAAATAAGGCTCGTTATTGTGTTTGTTGATTCTTAGTGCATACAGTGACTTTTTTTTTGTTCTATTTTTTTTTATTATTGGGTCATGCTTAATTGAAATTAAGATTTCTTGGTTAGATTTTGAAGGTGTTACTTTAACCTGTCTCTTGTATATTGGGTTATACTTTGAGAAAATTTTAATAAAGATCTCTTGATTATAGTTAATAAAAAAAAGAGCCCTAGAAATTTTAAAATTTTATTACAATCCAAAGGTATTGCAGTGAAATAAAATACTAAAAAAAATTACCTGATTGTCCCTATTGAAAGATAGTTATTTGTCTATTATTTTAAGTTTTTTGTTTCCATATATATTGTCGTTCATTACTGTACATTAAATTGTTCATTGCCCTATTCTTTGTTATTTGTCCATTGCTTTCAATTAATAATCAACTTTTTTCCTTGCTTGTGGATTTGTGATGGATAAACAATAGACAAGAGGATAATAAATAACTTAATGTAGGGTAATGAATAATAACATATAGAGAAACAAATAATTAATGTTTACATGATAACAACACTTAAAATAAAATCAATTGAAAGTAATAAATAAACAACAAATAGTAGAATAATGAACAACTTAATATAAGATAATGAACAACAGTATGCAAGGAAATGAACAACTCATGTCAATATGATAGCAATACTTGGAAATCAACTTGAAATAATGGACAAACAATAGACAATAAGGTAATGAACAACTTAATGTAGGGTAATAAATAATAGTATATAGAGAAACTAATAACTCATGTTAGCATGATGATAACACTTAGAATAAAATTAACTGAAAGCAATGAATAAATAATAGACAATAGGGTAATGAACAATATTATATATGAAAAAAATAATTTAATATAAAGTAATAAACAATAAATAAAAAAAATGAACAACTCGTGTTTGGGTCATCTAGGCATGTTTTGTGGAGAATGTTAATTTTATCATTTTTCTCAATATTTTAAGTTTACTACAGTCTGTCCTTGCACTGCAGTGAAGTTTCAGAGCTTATAGGATTATTTTTTGTCAACCATACGAGGGCCTTTGTTGAAATTTTCCCTTATGCTTATATCTGAGTCAGCATTCCTTTGGTTGAAGTTCTTTGTGTCCTCGTCTAGTAGTTA